TATCAAACTTCGCTACTAAATGGAAACTCCGCATGTAGCAGAGTAGCGGAAAAGGTAGCGCTATCTCCCAGCTCTGGTAATTACAAATTTAATAAGTTTTATTTGCTCAAAGATTGTGTAACGTTTTAGTCACCAGGGATTACTTCTAGATTTGGTAGTTAAAAGATTTACTTGTAACTTAAAAGTGAGTATTATAATAATCTTAAAAGAGAATCAATTACTAGAAACGTTGGCGACATTGTGTAACTACTTTATAACATTAAACACTTTTTTAAAATCTTCTAAAAAATTACACAAACTATAGTATATAAATAGTATATAGAGTAAGTTACAGTAAAGTAACTGTTCCAATGGTACTTAAAAAATAATACCGATTGCGCATTAATACTTTATTTGAAGATATTTTTTTAACAGTTTACATGAAGTTAATTGACTTTTAAGTCAACATAAACGTGTGGTATTGTGATTTATCTTTCTCTGGCTAATTGCCATATAGAGGCCACTTACCAAGGCTCGCGAAGACAATTTCATCTCCTAAAGAAGCATTATAACCCGCTCTACGGACCGAGAGTAAGGTGAGATTGGGAAGAACGAAGTTATGTTCGAGTGAAAGACAGAAGTAGTTGAGTTAGAAAGAAAGTGGACAGGATTGCACACGATGTTAGAAGGTGCAATACGCACTGTTAGTTAGGTTACCTAACTAATGTACGCCGACAAAGACTTTATTGGAGTTCACTTGATATAAACTAATTAATTATAAAATTTACATTAATTAATACTAATTAATGTATATTAAAACAAACATAAACATTTTATTTATAAAATATTTACTTTACTTATACAAAATGATAAAAACCGTTAAATAAATAACTTAAGACATTTTATGGTTAAGATAAATTATTTATTAATTATCGCCTACTATCTGGTTCATTTTAATAGTGGAACGGAATGCGGAAGTAACCACAAGTAATTTGCTTATTGCGTAAAATAACGTAACAATAATCTCCTCTTATAAGTAACGATAAAAGTTTTTTGTTTCATAAAATGACAGAATACTTAATTTAATAAATTTAATCAAAAACATCAACGTTTTAAACGTTTAAAAAACGTTCTTTTACCTAAAATAATAAATATTTAGATTTCGAATCAAAAACCTTGTTGACTGAACTTACAGGTTGTCGCATTTGCCTGAATATGATAAAAGAAAGGATTTTATTCACTTGTCGTGCAATATCGAACTCACATCAAAAGCCTGTTAAAAGATTAAGCTAATTAACTGCGACTAGGCTATTACGTACAATCCTAGCTGCACGTCGAAGAAAAGAATTGAGGGTTGTTTGGTAAACCATGATTACCAAAAACCCGTCGATATCTGGTTTAAATACTTGATAGCATGACTGAACTATTTATTTGCTTTTCTGGTTTTAATGTGAAAGAGTTTAGTTTTAAATTAAAAGAGTTTTATTAGGTAAATAAAAAAACTATGTTTAACTAATTTAATAAAATAATGAGTGCTTATCAATTAAAAATAGTCGCTAATGACAACAAATATGAAAATTAAAAATTTTTATATTACGTAAACCTAACTTATGCATTAGAAAAATAATTCTTTTATCTTAAACATATATTCAATAACAAATTTTGAAAATAGTTTTTTAATACTTATACGCGCTTGTAGATATGACAAACAAATCTGCAAATCGTAAAGAATCATAAAAAAAAGTTTATTCACCATGTGTAAAAAAATTATTAAAATAATGTCACAGCAGTTTACTATAACAACAACAGCAAAAAAACTAAACAAATAAAAAACGCACATAAATTTAGATTTTCACATAGTAAATAGCAAGTATTAATGATACCTGCAGAATAAAATTATTATAATATAATTTTAATATTAAAAGTAAAAAACTATCAAAAATGTCAAACTACGAAGACATAAAAATACAAGAACTAGAGAAGATTAGTAATGCAATTGTTATGAATGCATTAAATTAAGGTATATCGGTCATCAATCCCTTGTCAAAGAAAGGGATGGTAAAAGAAGCATGATTTCCAAAATTACTGAGGCAATGATTTATTTGCTACTGCAGCTCTGTCATAATGTTTTAATATCTTGTCGCAGTTTGACTGTTCATTAAGATCAACAGTTACAGAGTCACCCATTTGAAAGGGTGAAATTGATTTATAAGAAAAAGTTCAAAATCGTGAAATAAATTAATACCATCATTTACTAAAATAAAAATATTATTATTTAAATAAATCTTGTTTAGGTAAATATTTCTTTCAAATTTTTAAAGCTAATAAAGTAGCACGCAATAATCATTTTTCCAGTTGCAAATCAGAGATTGCAAAAAGGCTGCAACACTATTGCAAGCAATCAAAACCAACAGAATATTAAATAAAATCTTTGCAGAAAAGGAAAAAGATAATTTATTCATGACGACATTCATGACGACAACGGAAGTTGATGAGAGTTTCACGATGCCAGTTAATTTATTCATTACTGACGACATTCATGACGACAACGTAAGTTGAAACCACATACCAGTTAATTTATTGATTACTAAAAATCAAGGCAAAAAATCATAAAAATTTAAACGATAAAGCATCTGCTTGAAACATTATTCAAAAGAAAAATACGAGCCAAAAGGGATTTTAAAACCTGATATACTTGAAAAAATCAAATTTTAAAGTGAAAGCTTTAATAATTTTCAGGGAAACACTGTAATATGTTCAAATGCCGTAACAAATTTATTAATTTTTATTAGATCCAATATAGGTAAAAAAGGCGGCTTCTACATATCATAGAGCTCTGTGATTATTCTCTAAAGAACAAGCTCGAAAAAATCTAAATCTTTAAATATTTTATATCACAATACAAAAGAAATACTTGACGTAGAGTGTGAATCTAAAGAAGAAAAAGTGTCGGATTCACAAGAAATTGTGGATGTCGTGATGACAGAGTTGAAAAATCACGAATCATTCGAAAATCTGTCATTTCATGTTTCATAATTATTCTTCATTTTTTTAAATTCATCTCAAAACTAGAAAAAAAAAATCAGTATAAACTGCCCTTAAAAATTAGAAAATATATATATCACTTTCACTTTCAATATATTTTAGTCACTGATAAAAAAAAAAAAAAAACTTTCAGGGTTTGCAAATCTCTATTTTTTAAAAGTCTCCGTTTATTTCTTTCTTAAAAATCAGCTTTTTAATTATCTCATTATTGCAGAAACTTATGTAAGCATATTAAATCAAATTGATAAAATAGCTGTTAAATGATCGCGCATTTGACCGCAAGCTGGACTAAAATTAAATTGTTTTATCGTGTTCTGCATTAATTTGGATATATGAGATTTTGATTATAGGCCGATAACAAATAGAAAGACTAGATTCAAGAAAAATTCCCACTTACCCTTTTACTAAAACCCTCATTTATTAGATATGGGATCGATTTTATAAAACTTTTTACCGGTGTAAAATGCTACTGGCGAAAATTTTACTCGGGAAATTTTCAATTCAAATGTTTTTCAATTCAACGTTATAAAACTTTTCCGCATCAAATTTTGTAGATATCCATGTCTTGAATTTGTTTTTAAAAGTCTATTTTCTGGATCAAAAACATTCTCAAGTCATAAAAGGTGGTAACAAACAAAGTGTTTTTGAGTTAAAGATTCTTAAACATTCTGAACTACAGGTTTTTATAACTAAATATTCATTTCTTTCAATTTTCCGTTGGTCCCTTTTCCGGACCATTTTTCGAATTTTAAATTTAGATTTTTTAAATAAAGAAATTTTATCGCCGGTAATTTTTGGAAATATTTTATAATATTGACAAAAATCATATACGTCGGTAAATTTTACCGCCGGTAAAAAGTTTTATAACATTGACACCTGGACTAAAATTTCTACTTATCTTTTTTACCCCCCCTTCCTTGTATTAAGCACACAAGAGTAAGTAACGGCTGATACAGGCCTAGGTTTTCTAATAATTTGTGTAACATATATATAAGAGAGTTATTAGCCAGAACTTGATCCTGAATAGACCGAAGATGAAGAGATCAAACACGTGAAGCAGCTGGACATTCTCAATAAAAAGGATTTTTGTATTCAGTAGAGAAAAGGATTTTTGTATTTTTTTTTTTACATCTCGTAAAAAAGTAAAATTAAGAGGAGTTCGCAGATTGATAAGAGTTTTATGAAAACATGTAACTGTTTAACCTAATGAGATTAGACTTAAACTTTTGTGGCAGATTTTAAAATATTTTTGGTAATAAATGGCCTGCAGATAGTCACTTCAACATATCTCTATTGTTATATTAAATCACTCCAAGGATTAGATATAAAAGAAGAGATATAAAAACGATCAAGGAGGAGGAGATATAAAAACCATCACACAAACGGAGGAGGAGATATAAAAATCATCACTCCAAGGATTAGATATAAAGGAGAAAGAAAACATGTGTGATGTAAACTGTAACTTCGATATTTCTTAGAAATGTTTTGAACAATAGATGTGCAGGTTTGCAAACGTATGGTGATATGAGAAAATGTTGCGATTCAATTAAACAATAAACTGTTTTTAAATTAACTTTTGTTATCTCTATATTATTACCCATTTAATAATTAATAGGTTTACTAATCATTACTTTATATTCTAATACGCTTAGCAAGTGCATTGCTCTCAATGGACTATGCAAAGATGTGGTTCTATTGATCATTGTAGATCAATATTTTTACAAGCAGAAGTCGTTTTTAATATATATCAACTTTATAACTTTTACGAAATTGTTTTTCCTTTAGGAAGGACTAGATGAAATTATATTAGCAGCTAAAATAAAAGTTGATTAAAAATTATGAACAAGCAGCTCAAATTTGAATTTAAAAAGATTAGTAATGTACACAAAGTTTTAAAAGGATCCGCAAACAGTTTCCGTTGACATTTTTATCGATTTTAAATTTGAGGACAACTGTGCATTTATAAAAACAAAAACTTTTTATTAACAAAAATATTTTAAACATTCTTCATCATAATTTTAACATCTGCGTTTATATATCATTTATATATGTATATATATATATATATGGGCAATAAAAAAAAACATTATAAAAATTATAGTATAAAAATTAAATAAATATAGTCGATAAAAAGTCAGCAGGAGTCAACTTCCCTATGAAGTTAAGAATATACACAAAAAAAAATCCTTTATTGGTTTACTATTGGTTCATAAATGAAAATCCGTAACTGGTTTACTATTGATTTATTAATGAAAATAACAGAACGTTTCTATAATCACAAAAAGCGAGAGCTTAAAAATATTTTGTCATTGTTTCTACAAATAGTTTTTCTTTTTAAATAATTCTGAATTCTAAGGGTAAATCAATAGTATAAATATTTATCATTAAAACGTATTTTATGCGATAAATTTTTATCGCAATTGCTTTCACCAAAACTGATAAATTTTTATCACATTTGCTTTCACCAAAACTGATAAATACATAATCTGATGGGGTTGCTGATTAAAAAAAATGCGATAATCTCAATTTGTAGTTACTGTTGTTGTAGTTACTGTTGTTGTAGTTACTGTTGTTAATAAATGCAAGAGCATTAATCTTGACGATGTAATTTTTAATCGGAGATTGAGTCGTTTTTAATTAAATTTTAATAGATTAACATGGCATTTACCTATAAAAAATTTGGACCAAACTCAAAGTGTCATGGACATGAGTCCGCCTTCTCTTCCTGTAATAATGACGTCAATCCAAATGCTCATAACAATTGGCGTAGAAGCATTTAAAACATAAGTTCTCTGAGGAGTGCGAATGCAAAAAGTAGTTTTTGGATTCGGACTACGTTTGACACCGTTATCTACATAAACTTCTTGAATCGATTGAAAATAAAGAATTCCTTTGGATTTTGTTTTCCATTCATCTTGGTAATAACACAAAGCTCTCAATTTGCGGTCGAAAACGAACCAACGCTTTTTCCAAGATATGTTAAAACGGTGTCCCATTTTTAACAAATAACCACGACACGAATACCTGTTAATACGGACATCCAAAGAATTTTCAATAGAATGACCAGCATCTGTCAAATATTGCAATAGGTTTAACTCTTGGTCGTTCCCCAATTGACCGGACCTCACTGAAAGTGTCTAAAATAAAAACAAAGTTTACTATTTTATTATTACTCATTATATTTCAATTTTAAAGAATGTATGTATATATATATATATATATATATATATATATATATATATATATATATATATATATATATATATATATATATATATATATATACACTATATGTATACACACATAAGATGGAAGGCGTCTTTTTAGGGTGCCATTATTTTCTTGCATTGGCGTGTTACTTGGTATATCTAACTTTTTTCGATCGAGATTCAAGTTTTTGTTTCTCTCTTCTTCTTCTTGTAGTCTATAAATTATATAATTTAAAAAAAATTATAAATTATATATAAAAGAAAAAATTTTAGACAAAATAATTCTAAAGCAATAAAAAACAATTAAATTAAAACCTTTAACTCACCGGCGTTCTACTTCAACACGTTTAGATCGTTCTTCAGCGAAACTTTTTTCTAAAGTTGTTAATCGCACTTTTTCTTCTAAAAGTGATTTTTCAAGGAGCATTTCATTTTGCTTTTCGTTTAAGAGCATCTTTTCGAGTTCTTCGCGACGTTCACGTTCTATCTTTAAATTTTTCAACTCTTGTTCGCGTTGCTAAATAAAAACCTCTCGTAAGTATGACACTCACATAAAAATAAAAATATAAAATATAAGCTAAAAAAAACCTTTAATAATGTTTCTTGCTTCTCTATTTCCTCCATCTCTGCAAGGATAGACATCGTTTGTATTTCACTTTTATGCTTAAATTCCGATTTTAAAGTTTCCAAGCCTTTTTTTCTTCTGTCGATATCTTCATGAAAGTAGATGTTTTTATTTTCCTCTTTCCATTCTGTTTCTGCTTTTTCAGCAGCTACCCGTTTTAGTTCAGACAAACGTAACCTTTCTTCTTCAATCTTAATAAAAGTAATGAAAAAATCAAACAATTTTCACTAGATTATTTTTTGATTCCTTTAGCGATCATTTTTAGATTCTGCCTTACCTGCTTCAGATAAGGGGCACTTCCTAAATTTAACCCTTTGTACGCTATGTCAAATTCCTCATATACGGGTTGATTAATAATCGAGTTGAAAATTGGATGAAAATTAGTCGAGTCATTTATCTCAATTTCATTATGACATTTTACATCACTTTTTGTTGAATTTAACTCTATTAACCGAGAAGCGTTCTTGATTTCAAGTACTCTCATATTTTATTATCTTTGAACAAAATTTTAGTATTCTAAATTTGGAACATTTTCTATGTGAAATAAATAGTCAAAAACTAACAATTCTTTAATTTTTTTTTCTTCTACAAAGTACGCTTTTTAAGAGCTGTTAACAGAAAAATTTAGTAATATGAAATAAATAGAAAAAAAGCATGTTAATTAATATTCCCCGATTTATTACCGACTGAATCCAGTGTACGCCGATCCTCTAAAGAATCTCGGAACATTTACAGCACAAAACTCTTTGGAAAATAACGACAATGATTGCAGCTAGCAGCTTAGTTACTAACAAACACTAAAATTGCTAACAGACAATCATCAGCTAATTAAATGCAAGCAAAAGCTAATTGAATCAAAATTCTTATAACAGATCAAAAAGCTTTACAATTCGAATTAGATTTTATTTTATTTAATAACGAAAAATATTTTCGAAAGAAAAATAAATATTATAATTTATATAAAATAAAAACAAAATAAATTTTAAGAATAAACACAAAATCACCCTAGTATTTCTTTAACATTCAACTGATAAACTTATTTTTTATTATCACAAAAACATTTGTGAATAACTTGGAAATGCCGTCATAACTCAATTTATCTGGACTGATAAGAATATAAAATCATTTATAGCAATTATATTAGAGTCTATTATACTTATAATTCTCTAGTATGCAAAATATTGTTTTGTAATATAAACTTTACCATGGAAACGCTTTCTATTCTATTACAAAATAATAAAGAAATACGAGCTATATAGCACTTTACTGAATACGAAAAAAAAAGTAAACAAAAAAAAAAAAGTTATCTAATTCTCAAACGTAACTTTCACATGCGTTTTTTCTTTTAGTGTCTTTTAAATGCTATATTTCGTTTTTTGTCTGTTTTTTAAAAAATATTTTATTTTTCTTCTAATTGTGTTTGAGTATAATCTAGTGATACTTTTTTAGTGGAATTTTTACGGAAAAGATTGCTTGTAAGAAAACTATTTGAACATTTACGAAACCCTTCGGGTTTAGGTTGCTGCAAAGAACGTCTACGAAATTTTGTATCCGAAAAATGCGAAATTCTATGCTTAAGGTTAACCATGGTAGAACGGATTTCGTCCGTTTTAAGTGAAAAGATCTTGCTTAGTCTTTTTTCATCAGGTAAGCTAGGTAATTCTCCTCGTGTATTTGGTTCATTTTTAGGCGCCTCGGTTGCGTTGAAAGAAACATCAATAGACGACTGTTCCGATGCTTTGGGAGGAGCTAACGCTGAACTCATTTCATTCGATATAAGATCGGCTGAGGGAACTTTTTCATTCGAATTAATATCGGCTAATAAAACTTGTAACTGTTCTATCTGAGTATCAAGCAACTTCTCAACTTCTTTGACATGAGAAGTTTTTCTTGAATATTCTTTTTTTTTTTCATTACGAGAAAAACCTGGTGAAAACGACGACGAGCGATTAAAAAAATCGTGTGAAACCTTTTTTCCTGATTGCTGTAGAGCTTCTTCATCTTCATTTGTATTCGATTTCTCGTGATCTATTGTAGCCATATGCGATTGAAGTTTCTCCAAATAAACATTTCTTATCCAAGGAGCCAGATCATTAAAATTGACTTCAGAATTATTTGATATCATTGAAGAATCAAAGCATTCTTTAACAACGCCACTAAATTTATGTTTTTCGCTCTGAATAAAGGCGTCCAAGTCTTTGTGCAATAATGATTCTTCTGTATTAAGGTGATCCACAGACGAACCTTCAATAAAAGTGCAACGATCACGATCAAATTTAAGAGTACGCTTCGGTTTTGCCGGAGGTATTGGTCGGTTTAATTCATTATTTGATTCACCTATTTTCGAAAATAATTTTTCCTTCTCATATAAATTATGAAAACTACTAGGTAGAGTCAAACTACTAGGCGCAGTCAAACTACCAGGCGCAGTCAATGTACCAGGTGCAGTAAAACTACCTGATGCAGTCAAACTACCAGGTGCAGTCAAACTACCCGATGCAGTCAAACTACCTGATGCAGCAAAACTAGTTGACGGAGTAAAACTTAAATCTGTTGCACTATTAACAAGTGTCACGGATTTATTGTTACACTTATCTTCATTAATTAAATTCCTATTTAAATCGAATTCTATTGAAGTATTTGACTCTATACTTTTATTGAATAAAAAATTACTTTCATCGTTCACATATAAGATTTTTTCATCAAACAAAGTGTCGTTGTCAAAAAGATTCTGACTTGTAGATGGTAAAATTTTATGCTGAACAAAATAAATTGAAGCTGTGTTATCACTTTCTTTTCTTGATATTCTTCTCTTAGGTGGACTTCTGATACGAACAGCTGAGCTAACAAACGTGTTCGACATTATATCGCTTTAGGAAAAAAATGGCCAAAGCCCTACGAAAATATAGTTGCCAGATTTTCTTATTAAAAACTTTCAATAGACAAAAATCAACCACGAAAATCTCTTTTAAAGTTTAATCAACAAGATTTCTTTATGCATTATAAAATATCGAAAAGATAAGATGTTGCTTAATGATATGTTTATTAATTCCATTCAACAGGATTAATCTTTTACGTTAATAACATACTGAACTACATAGTTAAAAATCCTGCGAAACAATGTACCGAGGTATCGTTAATCGCATAAAATTACATTTTTTTTTTGTATTAAAACAAAAAGCAAAACGGCTCAAACCGTTAATAAACTTTATTTCACGGAAATAATTTCAATAAACTCTTTTATGAGCAAAAAATCCAACTTTTATTTTTTATTTCATCAAAACAGATACAAAGTAATTTTCGAATTTCACTTTCGAATTTACGATTTTAAAATTTTTAAATAATTTTTTTTTATAAGAAATACACATTAAAACGTGTTTTTTTCTTATGAATTGTTAATATCGTCATAACTATATGATTTCAATGCAAATTAATCATTTATAGGCAGTGTCGCGATGCAAAGAAAAGAATTCATAGCAAACTAAAAAAAAATCTATAACCTGTACAAAAAATTTGGTTCGATAAATTCAAACTGGGCAAGTTAAAAGCTCATATAAAGTATTCGACGCCATGAAAAGAAGTTACTTTTCTGAGTCTCTTTATCAGATACTATTTTAAAAAATTATTACTTTTTTTTTGCTTAAAGTGCTTGCAAATCCTTAGTGTATATTATTTTGCAACTTTTATTATTTGTTCCTTATTTCTCTCCGTCAAAGTTTTGAAAGTAATACTTTTTTAAACTCCAATGTTGTCAAAAAAAATTACCATTCAATCCCACTGAATTTTTATTTTTTATCAACTTGTTTTTGTAACTAAATTAATAACACAACCGTTGCAAAATATTTTGCTTAGTAAAACAAATAGGATAAAATAATTTTTTGCAGAATTGATTTTTACTTGGGTTTTATATAGAGCAAAGAAGAGCGAAAGAAGAAGTGCGAATGAAAAAAAGCGTACTGGATTTTTGCAAAATCTAACAAAACTCTTGAATGCGATTAGACTTTTTTTCACAAATTACAAAGAAAATTTAACCACCTAAAAAGTGGTTAACAAAAAAGAAAAGAAAGTTTTTTTCGTATTTGTTTGAGAATATATTGCTTAAACCACACTGCTCTATCTTTTTTAAATAAATTTAATTTACTATTACCAAAACTTTTCCTAAATTTAAGAAATAATAATTAAAAATTTTTTAAATTATCTGAAACATATCACCATCTGAGGGTTTTCATTAATTGTAGCATTTTCAGGATTTGCGCACGCGCAGAAAAGGATTAAGAATTTACGTGATTTTGGACAAAAACGTAACTTTTGGAACATCGCTTCGTTTTTACTTAGCAATGAAAACGTTAGCGTGAAAAAAATGTTATTGTAAAAATTCCAGTCACAATTGGTTTACTATTTCCAGTCAGATTTTTTTTTCAATAGTTGCATTTTTTTAGGATGTATAGACTGTTTTTTGTAAAAAAAAGCTTTTGGGGTGAGTTAGCAAAATTTTCACGGGGCTAGTTGGCTCATAGCATTTTCTATCAAAAAAAAAAAAAAATTCACAAAATTAATATTTTTTTTAAGTTTTTAACAATATTTACAAAAAAAATTGTTAAAGGGATTTTTTTAACAGATGAAAAGCGGGCTACTGTTTTGGATTGTTGAAACGAACTAATATTTGGTAACAAGTAATATTAAATTTTGGCTTAAAATTATTGCCAAAATTATTAGTAAAAAAATTTGTACAAATTATGCACTTAATAGTACATTAATAATCATTTTTATAGTTCGCGTTAACTTACACCGAGGTGGGGTTGGTTTACAAACTTTTTTTTTTGAGGCTCCAGAAAGGCGCCAAGAAAAGAGGGGGATGGTAAATATTTTGTATCAACTCTAAACGTTGAAAGTGCTTTTTAATTACCAAAAATACATTTTACTTTTAAAAATAAGCTTTTGAATTGAGCTTAATCAGAAAAAAGTTGTTTTTTACTAAGATTGTTAACAAGTTTTAAGCAGGTCAAAAAACAAAAGTATAGAAAAGACTTTTCTTTTTTGACGTAGGGCAGGCCAAAAAAAAAAAAAAAAAAAAAAAAAAAAAAAAAAAATGATCTTTTACACATAAGAATACAAAAAATTAAATAAAAAAAAATTGAGTGTTGCCGATTTTATTTGATTATTTTCGTTTTTAGCCTAAATTATGTCAAAATTAGAATTTTGTAGGAAAGTCAAAAAATATTAGGATTTTTATATTAATAGGAAATATTTGTTATGAACAGTATTTTTTTTCCAGTAAAATAACTGTCTTGTTACTCATAAAAGAGGCTTATAAATTATTTCTATTGTGCTAAATCAACAAATAATCTTTGACCACTTTTGTTTTGCGTAATCTTGCCCTAAAGATAAGAAATTTTATTTGAACTTGTTCTATATGTTTACTTTTATGTAAATTTTTCGAACGTAAAGTAAATGCAATTTTCATTTGCAGTTTTTTACGAAGGATTTTTCCAGTTTTTCAAAATGACCCAAAGAATAATTTAAAAATATGACGGCACGATAGCCACAGAAGAGTTTTCATTAGATTTTGAATCTCAGAATCTCAAGTGAAAATTAATTTTTACAAACTATCTATCCTTTCCATTCAACAAGTTTCAACTCTATCCTGCCTATTTATCTAGTCTCAACTTTTTAGATTCTAAATCAGTTAAAATATCAAATATTATTCATTGATTGTTTGAACAAGTAAATTTCCTTTTCAAAATTGTTTTTTATTCATTCATACTTTTACTGTTGCATAAGAGATGCAATTGTAAAAATAGTGTGAACTTATATTAATAATGTATATGGCTACTATAAACCACTACCAGTGCGGTAGTGGATAATGATAGAGGGCTCCCTCGTAAGCAAAAAGTTACGAGTTCCAACCCATAACATCCCTAATTGTACCGCACATAACTTGTTTCTCCTGGAAATATTCTTGTTTGTCAAGGTTGGTGTTTCGAAGTTAAAGCGTTGCGAGTCTCAAAGAGTATGAATTTGTGTAACTTATAAAATTTGCATTCATTTACAAAAAAAATTCTTGAGGCCTTCCGAGGCCCTCAAACAAATTAATTTTATAAAATTATATATTTTTTTCATAGTAAATGTTATGAGTCAACTTAACCCGTGAAAATTTTGCCAACTTACCTGAAAAGCCTTTTTTCAATAAACAGTCTATAAATTATTTTCAATAAACAGATTAAACTTTGAAAAAAGTCTGAATGGATATAGTAAACCACTTGTGACTGGAACTTTTACAATAATTTTTTTTTCATACGACTATTTTCTTTGTAAAGTAAAAAGGAAGCGATGTTCCAAGAGTTTCGCTTTTGTCCGAAAACACATAAATCTTAATATTTCCCATGCGCATGCGCGAATCCTGACAGTACTATAGTGAATGATGAAATGGTCAATTAGGAAGGTTCTGTGTAATATTTATCACTTTCTGATGAAAAGCTCTGAAGATAAACGCAGTTCATCAACTTACCCCTACGACCAACTAGCCCCGGTGCAGTATGAGATTATTACTCCAGCGTTTTTTTTACTTCCCAGTAAAAATCTCATATTAAATTTTTACTCCCCAGTAAAAACCGCTTATTAAATTTTTACGCCCCAGTAAAAATCTTATATTAAATTTTTACTCCCATAATGAGATTTTTACTCCCATAAAAATATTATGCGGCAAAACGTATTTTTGTAACAAAATCACGTTGTATTTTGATAATAGTTTTCAACGTTTTAATTACTGCGGTTTCTTGAAAAGCAATAAGAACCAAATCTTTTAATACAGTGGCTTTTGCATTTGCTGACGTTTATAATTTTTTAAAAAGAAGCCAAAGACAGCTATTAGTTAAGGTGATAAGTCGAACTTTCGAAGAAAAACAAAACCATTTGTAATTAGCTGTATCATCTGGGTAAATCTGGCGTTAAGGTAAACAGTTTATATAATTAGAGTTTTTTATAGTAGCGTGGTTTGCGATAAATACATACATTTTTATGTATACGTTTATGTATCACGTTTTACATAATAACGTATTACATAATAATATCATGTTTTAATAATGTATCACGTAATAATAATACATAATATATAATAATATCGTGTTTTTACATAATTACATAATAAAAAGCTTGTACATAACTAGTATAATACTATACCTGATAAGGAAAAACACAGTAACTGTAAAAATATCCACTTTTCACTTTTTTAATAAATATATATTTTATAATAGCATTTTTAATTTTTTTTTAGAGAAAAGTTATTTGGTACAAATAAGAGCAACACCATATAATTAAGTCTTTTCATGATGGTAATGATATTTCTAATGAGGCTAACGCATTATCTGGCCACATAGGCATCAATTCAAAAACAGAGCATATTAAAAAGAGATTTTTTTGGTTTGGTATGGTAAAAGACATTACAGCCTATGTTTCAGAATGTGATAATTGTCATAAAACAAAAAACAAGAAACTTCAAGTTAAACCATTGTTACAAAGGTTTAACTTTGGGATTGATTTGACTCAACTCCCAGAAGTAAATGGGTATAAATATCTGATAGTACTAGTTGACTATTTTAGCGAATAGGCAGAAGCTGAACTTCTGTTTGATAAAACAGCAAAATCTGTGGCAATATTCCTGTATAAACAAATATGTAGACATGGATGTTTTGAAATACAGATTAATGATCAAGGCCGTTAATTTGTAAATGAGCTTTCAAATGAACTTCACAGGAAAACTGGGACTCGTCAACGCACGATGAGTGCATACCATCCACAAGCAAATGGTTTAGTAGAACGTCAAAATCAATCAATAAAACGAACATCGGTAAAGGTGCGAGAAGATGCTGCTCTTGAATGGCCATTTACTATTGACGGTTTTTTGTTTTCAATTCGAATTAGAAAACACAAATCAACTGGATTTTCACCCTTTGAATTACTTTATCAAAGAGAACCTGTTCTGCCGAGTGATATAGATCAGAACCTAATTGACTATAATGATAATGCTACTCTGATTGAAGACGATTCCCATAACAAAAAAGCAATTTTGGAAACATTCAAAAAAAATGAATGAAATGAAGAAGTACATTTTTTATAAAGCTTACGAAAACATCCAAAAGCCACAAATAAGGCAAAAACGCGACTATGACAAAAGAATAGTATTGCTATAGGAACAAAGGTTTTATTGCGAAATCATAAACGTGATGACAGAAAAGGCGGAAAGTTTGTGATGGGTAGGACCATACAAGGTAACTAATATTTCAAGTAACTGTAGTTTAAAGAATGAAAAAACGTAACATTGAAAAAAAAGTACAATCTAACAAGTTTGTCCTTGTACAAAGAAAAATCACTAGTAATGGCAGCATTCAAATAGAAGAAATTAACAAATTATCAAATGATGATGATATCAAAACTAAACCAGTTATCAAAGACGTTGAATCAAGCAAGTCATATATAAATACTCAATATGAAAGCTGTGTAAATGTTTTAGACAAAGGAATAGCAAAAAAGGAATAGCCGTAGGAAACATAAACCTAACTCTTTGTCCTCATAGACTCCATAGAATTAAAGGAGATGGAAACTGCTTTTTTAGAGCAGTTTCTTTTATCATAACAGGAAGTGAGGATGAGCATAAGCAAATTAGAGACAAGGTTGTTAACCATATGTGTAACCAAATACATGATGAATTGACTGGATATTTGAATATGCCAATTCAAACGCATATTTTTAAAACTAGAATGCTTGAAGATGCGAGATCGGCAACTGATGCAGAGATAATTGGATGTGCTTTATTTATGGAAGTAGATATTCAAGTATACAGCAAATATGGAGCGAAAACAAAATGGATGATCTACCCATGCAGTTTACGGCTTAATAAGTTAAGTGACTATTCTATATTTTTAGACAATTCAACTGGATTCCACTTTGATTTCTTGTACTATGTAAGTTTATATATTAAACGCAGCAGTTTGTTTGAAAACGGAAGTAATATAGTTAGGCTATCTCAATACAAAAACAATTTTAATAAAATTATGTGGTGCAAATTTAAAATTGTGTTACATCACATATTGTCTTACAAATCGTTATCTGAAAATTGCCCCTCCCCATTTTCAATTCCCAAAAAAATTTACTTCATTTCGCAATGGTGTTTGAATCTGCTGCTACACCTTTGAAAAATAAATTTGAAAATATTCTTTAACATTACCTTCATAAAAATCTATGTTTACATGAAAAAAAATCTATAAAGTGACGTCCTTTTCTTACAACCTCCTCCCCTCTCTTCTTTCATCCTTTTTGTCTCAACCCCTCCCCCCCTACTTGGACAATGTCCACTATGGACGGCCCCTTACTACATGATCTGGATCGGCTCTTGTTTTTTTCATTTAAACACTACAATATTTCAAAATAATGTTCATATTAAACGGAATCGTTTCTTTATTGCTATTCAAAAAACAACTGTTTTTCAAATGTTAAAAACAAAAATTCAAAATACAACAAAGTCGCAAAACACATTTTGCCGCCTAATATTATTATGGGAGTAAAAATCTCATAATGGGAGTAAAAATTTAATATGAGATTTTTACTAGGGAGTAAAAAAAAACGCGAGAGTAATAATCTCATACTACAGCGGTCTCCACTGCCCATTTTGATCATACCTTTCTAAATCAACACCTATATCACCAAACCAATAACTTTTAGTCAAATATAGATGATGCTCACGAAAACTAACAGCTCTGATTCCTCCTTCCCCCAAAACATTAACCATCAATAAGTTAAACTACAAACAAGTTGAAAAAAAATATATATTAAAAAAAACATTAAAGTTAAAATTTCACCTGTCTCGACATCCAATCAGGTTGAAAATTTTGTATATCGTGATTTAAAGAATTTAATGCGGATTTTGGAGCAGCCATTTGTGCTTCATATTCATTTTGAACTTTGACAATTTCTTCCTTTTCTTTTACAAATTGCAAGCGCCATTTTTCTTGTTCCTCTCGAAGTTTTTGAGATACTTCTTGATACTCTAATTCAATTTGAGCAAGTTTGTCACGTTCATGCTGCAACTGAATTTGCTCTTCTTCACGTTTTTGTTTAACTTTTTCTCTCTCTTCCTCAGCTTGCCGTAATGTTATTTCTTGTCTTTTTTTAATTTCTGCAATATAACGTTCGGTAGCTTTTAAACGTGCCTGTTCTTCTAGTTTTTCTCTGTCTATTTGATCACGAATTATTTGGGTCTCGTGTTCTATTTGCCTTACTGATTCAAACTGTTTTTGTTCTAATTCTTCTAACATTAGTTGTTCTGCTTCTATGTATTCTAACTCAAGCTTTCTTTCTCGATCATGCTTTTCTTGTTGTGATATTATATCTTGCTGTAGCTCGTCTAAGGCGCGTTTATGAGCATCTTCAAGATCGGCAAGCTTCATTTTTTCACGAATTATCATATCACGCTCGCGTTGTTGATCTTCCACTGTCTTTTGCAAATTACTCAACCGCTTAATTTCACTTTTCTCTAACTGTTCCCGTTCAATATCAAACTTGACCTTTTCTTTGTCTCTTGCTTCAATCAGTTTATTTCTTTCCTGTTCTATTGTAAGTAATGCTTGACTCTGGTCTTTTTCAAGAACTTGTAGTCGCTCCTTCTCTTTTTTTATCTTCTCCAATTCAGCATCTCTTTCTTTCTGAAGCCTGTCAAAAATCGATTTATTATGTCTTAAAAACAAAATGAAAAAACATTTTATTTAGCAAAAAAATATTTTTAAATAGAAATTGAAAAATAGAACACAACAAATAAAAAAACATTAAAAAAATATTTTAATTAATAATATTAACTTTTGAAAATTAACCTGCATATTTCGGACGTTAAACTATCAATAAGATATCTATGTTGGTTTTCCATTTCCTCAAGTTTCTGTTTTTGATTTTGAATTTCTTCTTTTTGCTTTTGAAATTGATCATGGTATTCAAGATCTTCTGTCAAAATATCCAATTCTAAGAGTGCTAAGCGACGTTTCTCATCCTCTAATGATTCAATAGGAAGACACGACGAGGATTTTTTAACGGTTGAGAGTTCTTCTAATTTATCTAAAGTTGCCTGCTGATTTAATAAGGCTTCACGCTCAATTTTCATTTGCTGTTCCTTCAAATTTTGTTCCTCTTCCAACTTTAATGCAGCCATTTCAATTTCTCTTTCCTTTGCTCGAATTTTTTCATTTTTAATATGAAAACTTTGCAGCTCTTCCTTTTGCATTTTTAATTCCTCAATTTGAATTGTCATTTTTACGTCTAACTGATTAGCAATAGTTTGTTGCTGTTGTTGAAGAACTTGCAACTTTTTTTTTTCATGTTCAAGTTGATCTTTCTCAAGAGTAAGACGATCTAGTGATTCCATGTATTGTTGTTCTAAGGCAAGCAGCCGTTTATTTTCAGTTTGCAACCGTTCTTTTTCTTGAATCTCTATTTTTCTCTGCTCTATTGCTAATTGTACATCTGTAAGAAAACAAATATCTTATTTTAAAGAAACAAAATGACATTTAAAACCAAATTTAAACATGATTAGCTCCAATGAACTCACACAACCGTATGTAAATTTATTAAGAAGTAAAAAAACAATTATGTACCTATATAAAAAAATTTACAAAATAATGGCTTAATAACCTGGATAAATGTCATCTGGAACAATGGAGAACCTGCTATTACTGTACATTTCTTTAATTTTGGTTGCTTCACGAGGATGGTTAAAACGAAAATAATTATTTTGACCAATGCAAACCATACAACCTTTAGAAATATATGTACGCTACAACTAAATAAAATGTATTGTGCAAAAAAATCACAATATTAAACATATTTATATTTATTCCAGAACATTATAATTAATAAACATTTATAGAGATTATTACATCAAACTTACCCTGAGGCAACCTGGTAGGTTCTGATAATGGCATCCCATCTACAGACACCAAAACATTTTTAGGATGAAGGACTACCACCTCACCATCGTATTCAATAAGACAATGAACACTACAAATGTAAAGCACCCTTGTGACTTTCTTATAAACAACTAGTTGTCTCATTTTTAAATGCAATTATAAGGTTAAAGATAAAAAATACTATATGTTAGAATAATGCAGCTAAACAATATGGTTAGTAAGATAAACATTTAATAACAAGAAGATAATTCTATTAACACTGAGCTTCCTAATAATATGTATTAATTTGGAAGAAAATCATTCTCGGTTTTTAACACTAGTATATATTCAACTTCACAATAACAAATCAAACATTTTAGCAAAATAAACATTTGCAAAAGAATATTTTCTAAAAAAAAAAAAGCCATACCTTGCAATACCTTTACCTCTTATCAACAAATCAACTTCTGAGTTATCACCACCACTACCTACGCGAGTAAAACCTGAAAAAGAATAATAATAAAAATGTTTCCTAATAAAATCATTTATTAAGGATAAAAATAGTTTTACTCATTAGTTATATATGTTTGCAGAATATAAATTAAAGAAATATAGTTTTACTAAATAATAAAATACCTTTAGCTATTGGAATAATGCTGACTCCTACACTTAATCTGCCTCCCCCTAAACTAACAAAATGGGGTTCCTTTGTCTCAAGTTTTAAACCTTTCCCACCAAGATCTTTGACATCAAGAGATTTATCCTTAAAGTTGTTTAACAATATCATTATATATATATATATATATATATATATATATATATATATATATATATATATATATATATATATATATATATATATATATATATATATATATATATATATATATATATATATATATAGAGAGAGAGAGAGAGAGAGAGAGAGAGAGAGAGAGAGAGAGAGAGAGAGAGAGAGGTTCTATAAATGATCAAAACTACCTCAATCATTTGCTGAGCTTTACTCCATTTTGTCTCCCAAATCCCAGTTAACCTATTCATTAATTCTTGGTCTCGCTGTAACTTATGTAGATTCTTCTTACCTCCCTTTAAAATAAAATTACTGTTAAAGTAAACTCAAATTATTAAAAAAAAAAAAATTTTATAAGAAATTATAATAAAAGTTAATATTAAAATATGGTTTGTTGCAAAGTTAATTGCTATCAAAAAAAGCAA